ATGAACACCCATTAGGTACATCTGTTCAGGGTACATTCCTTGCCACACCATGTGACAAGGTCCTCCCTCAGTGAGGACAAGAGTACTGCTGGAAAAATGGCTCCCAGACACCCATCAAGTCTATGAGAGGACCAAGGACCACAGAAGTGAAGTAACTAAGCACAGAGTACTCACCACCTGCATGTCACCAAGACCTTAGAAAAGACAACCTCTGGGGGTCACCTCCTCCCCGACAGTGATTTAATTGAACAAAGAGCCATTTCTTTTTCAAGCCTTTCCTGATATACAGCTTTGCTTTAAACTATCCCTAATCCATCCCTCCCGCAGAATATGCCAAGTTATCAAAACCAGGCAGACCCAACTCTGTCTCATCTATTAGCCCATTAGCTACCTCAGCTCCTAGTCTTTTTAAAAACCTTTTTAAATTGATTAATTTTAGAGAGAGAAAGAAAGCAAGAGAAACAATTTGTTGTTGCATTTTATTTATATACTCACTGGTTAATCCTCGTATGCGCCCTGACTGAGAATTGAACCCACAACCTTGGTGTATCGGGACGACGCTCTAACCAACTGAGCTACCTGGCCCGAGCCAGTCCCTACCTAGTCTTCTGCATTTGCTTTCCTGTCACCTGGGATACTTCACCCTTATATTCCAGACAAGCTTAGATGTCACATTCCCTGGGAATTTTCCTCAAACTACACCTCCTGTCCTAGTCCAACCAAACCTACTGGATATTTCCTCAGCTCCTTACTGCATACTTCCTCTAAGATAACACTCTTCACATCACAGTGCAAATGCCTGATTTTGTCATCCATCTTAAACATCACCTTCACCCAAGTGCTTAGCATGGAACCAATAAATCTTTGTTGAACAAATGAATGAGTGAGGGACCTTGAGTATGAGGCCTCACCTCCGGGAACGAACATGGTAGCTGTCTTCCCGTCGATGCCTTCGTGTCCGGTCACTGCTACTTGACCAGGAGCGGCTTCTTCGTCTCTTATGCTTTCGGCTTCGATAGTGCTCAAGGTAACTCCCCCGGCTGCCTCGTTCTGAGGAATGGTACCTTCGGGGATGCGGCATCTGGAAGGGAAGAAAAAGCAGAATTAGTGGGAAAAGTGAGTTTTCAGAAGTCCTCTTCAAGGACTGGCTGCTCCAGAGGTGCTAAGCTACTTTCTTCTATTTCTTTTTACCACCTCTGTGCTTATAATCCCTCCTTAATGGACTACATACAGTACTCGCCTACTAACTAGGGCTGAGAACTTTAGGAAGTCTCTCCTTAACCTCCTCAATCCCTTAATTACGCCCCACTCAGCACATTGTTCCACTCTGATTTTCCTCAAACATGTCTCCATAAAGACCTTCAGGTCTGGGCCAGAGCTCCTTACAGGTGAAAAGGTGTAACTGATGGAGAATGCCATAATTCCTCCTTGGCTGAGATCTAAGATCTGTGTCATGCTGAGTTCCTTACAACTCAAAATCTAAAGCGTTAGTATACATTGTTACGATAAATGTTTTAAAGTTATTCAGAGTGTATCTTATTTCTCCAGGTAAACCAACTGTGTCCTGAGGGTATGAATCTCATTTACCAATTTCTACATACAGCAGTGTATACCAAATACAAACAAATTCTAGGGACCTGGGCCTGGCCCCTTGAACTACCTTAATCATCTCTTGCATCTCTGGCCAAACGCCCCTTGAGAGATTTTAATACAGGTCCCAAGCTGCAGTCAGCTTCCTATCTGGCCCCTCCCTTTTTGTGCTGAGGAAGTACAGAATAACTGGTTTTTAATTAACATCAGCACTACTTCGTTAAGAGCCAGCCCCTTTCCAGTTATTGGAATTGGAATGGCATGGTGCATAAATCCTTTTTCCTTCAGGGAAAGATCAGAGAGAAATCACTGTCACAATCCAGGAAGATGATAATAGGAGGGTAAAGTGAAATAAAATAGGCCTATGGGCAGAAATCTTGGTAGGGAGGAGGATTAGGTGTGGAAGAGCCAATGGCCCAAAAATCTGGCTCCCACTCTGAGCTACTTCTGTCCACCGTCCTCAAATTGAGAAGGGGTATATCTGATTCAGTCCTAGCTTAACAGGGCTTACAGGAAGCCAAGAAGATGCAAACACAAGATTCTCCCAGGTACACCATCATTGCTTAGCAATATAAATGTTATCTCATCTCACCACACAGAGACTGCCACCAAAGTTCCTCATAGGTCTTCCCCTAGAAAACATCTCCAGCCTACAACCTTTCTCAACTTCTAAATCTTTGTTTTCCTTTCTTACCCAGAAAATCCAGAACTAATTTCTGGAGTCAAACTCTTTCCGTATCCTTTAAGTGACAGCATGGTTGTCTCCCCTCTTTCCAGCCTTGGTCCAACTTTGACATCCTGCTCTTTCTCATCTTTGGAACCACTGCTATCCCTACTCCATCACCCTACTTTGGTCCCTCCCAAGTTTCCTATAGGATACTTCCCGGATACACCTAAGGCAAGCTGATCTTCCACCTTCACTCCTGCAGCTTCGCAGGTCTCAACCCCCTTCCTCTCCAAATCTCGCCCTGGTCCCTTGCCCCCAACACAAGCCTACCCCTCCCGCCCTGCGGTCGCCATCTTTCCGCGCGGACGCGCGGCCCGCCGGACCGCGCGCTCACCGTTCTGGCGGCGAGGCCCGTGCGCTTGTCCCACAGGAAGTCCGTGATGGCGGCGGCACTGCGGCCGGGAGTCCCGGCACCCCCGCGGCGACGAAGTGCGGCTTCAACCCCCCCAACCCGAGACCCTGGGACCTCCCGCCTCGTTCCCGGGCTCCGCTCCAGTCCCGCCCGCCCCGGCTCCGTCCCCGCCCCGAGGATCCGCCGGGCGCCGCTCGCACCGCCCCCGCCCGGGGCCCGATCCCAGCTGGGTCTTCGGCTCTTGCCTCTCCGATCCGCCGCCGCCACCGTGAGCGAGCACGTACGCACGCACGCCCTGCGTCGCTTCCCAGTTACCCCGGGGCTCCGCCCCCAGGGCCGCGCACGCCTCGGCGTCCTCGCCTAGCTCGCGGGACTGGCGTCCCCAGCTAGAGCTGAGGGAAGTGCGGAACGTGGAAGTTCGTAGGCACCGTGAAAGAGTCGCTGTGGCTCATCAGGCTCTCTCTGCCTCGTGTCCTTCTTTATCCCTCCTCAATTTTTTGCCCCTTTCATGAGACTTTGTTGACTTAATTAGGTTTGGAGATTTAAAAGAAAATATTATTTCCTGGCCGTGTGGCTCACTTGGTTGGAATGTCCTCCCCGTATAGCAAAATGTTGTAAATTCTATTCCCGATCACGGCACATACACAGTACGGCGTGAGCGGGAGGCAACCCATCAACGTTTCTCACTTCGATGTTTCCTCTCTTTCTCTCCCTCTCTAAAATCAATGAACGGGTGAGAAAGAAATAGATAGATAGATAGATAGATAGATAGATAGATAGATAGATAGATAAAAGCGTTGTTATTTAGAGAGTGTTGACGCTCCGCAAACGTTTTGAGGCTGAGGTCTGATCCTCCAACATCGTCTGTAAATATCCAGTTTTTAAAGCAGTTCGGCTACCTAATCACAGCAAAGAGAGACTTCGGCCTTGTGGAGTCGAGAGCATGGCTGTGAAGGAAAACTTTGAGAAATAGAGGGAAGGAGAATCGAGAGCCAAAAGAGGGGAAATCCCTTGAGAACTATATGTTACTTACTTATACATAATATGAGAAGTGTAAGTATACTGAATTGAAAAAAAAAAAAGGATTAAGAGAAGCAGACCTTGAGAAACACTGAGCAGTCACGCGCTGTAGAAGGAATTCAGAAATAGAAAGGGAAATGAAAACCTGAGGATAACTATATTAAAGTCAGAATATCAGAGGGGAACTGGGATGGAGGATTGGCAGATTGAAATTAGATCAGTTAGCCAGAAAGCGTTTAGGAAAATTCCCTAAAATAGAAGAGAAAGTGTAATGAGAGGCTGAGAGGACAGAATGGCAAATTCACTTCCTCTTCGAAGAACACGTTCCCAGATCGTTCGTTCATTCAACAAGCATTTACTGAGTGTCCAATATGTGTCCAGCACTTTGCCAGATGCAAGGCTGCTGTTCTTCAGAGCTTCACAGTCTAATGGGAGAAAAGCACCTGTCAATGGATAACGGCAGCCTTGTGACAAGAGTGGTTATGAACAGTGGTGACCTGGACACTGTTGGAAAGCTCTAACTAGACCCTACCTGAGGAAAGGAAGTCTCGAAATGTGTCTCTAGGTTTCCTAGAGGAAATGAGGTCTGAACCAACTGTCGTATTCTCAGCATCTACTCAGTGACGAGCAGAGTCACATTTGGTGAAGGTTGGCAGAAAGAATTCAGAAAGTGAAATAGCAGGGGGAGCCGTATGGAGAACAGAAGAAATGAATATGCCTAGAGTGCCGACAGAAAGAAAGTGGAATACAGGGAAGTTCGTGAGCGAGAGTGGGGAAGAAAAGAATCCCAAAAGCCTCTTCCTAATCCCTCGCACTCTTTAGTCTTACCAGCTACAACCTGAGTCCGGTTTTCCCGCCACTTGCGGGGGGCTTCGCCTCCCTGACACCCAGGGAATAAAAGCCTGTCAACTCTAGGCCACACCCTCTTCTTGGCTCCTCCTGCGTCTCCCTTTCTCCAATTACACTTGGAGAATCTCCTCTATTCGGTAAGCCACGCCCATTTCAGAGTCCCGCCGAGACACCGACTTATTGGCTCCACCCTCTCCCGGCTGGCTCTCGGACGGCCCCGCCCCCGTCTGCTCTGCCCTGCTTTCGCGCGGACCTCGCCAGGGGGCGCAGTGAAACCCGCACCCAGCTGGCGGGAGAGCCTGGGCTCCACACCCCTTCTGCCCCGCGCGCCGGCAGTTCCGAGCCGACTACGCTTGTGCTCCAGCCCGCGGGCTGCACCAGCTCTGACTCTGGGAAGGTCACGGGGGTCCTGGATGGCTGTGACAGGGTCTAGGAGGCCAAGCGTGTAAGCCCTGGGGCGTCATGCAGGCGGAGCCGCGGCCGACGACGGGGCCCGGCGACGCGGCGACCCCTGGGCTGGAAGCGGCGCTTCCTGCTACCCCGGCGCCTGCCACTACCACCGAGGGACAGATCCCCGGGTCCGCATCGGGACCCGAGCCCAAGAGGAGGCAGCTCGGGACGCTGCTCCAGCCCACGGTCAACAAGTTCTCCCTTCGCGTGTTCGGCAGCCACAAAGCAGTGGAAATCGAGCAGGAGCGGGTCAAGTCAGCGGGGGCCTGGATCATCCACCCCTACAGCGACTTCCGGTACGGGGGGCCCGGCAGGGAGGACAGGGGACACAGATCCCATCCCCACAGCCGCGACGCGGAGACTGGACCCGCCCCACCCTCCATGGTCACTTCATTTCCGGCCCAGGGGTCCCCGGGTCGGGTAAAAGAGTCACTTCCACCAGCCAGGCCTGGGAATCCTGAGTGACTTCTCAGGCTGGGAGCACCAGAAGAAACAAGCAGACCCCAGAGACCTTGATTTCCCGTTTCAGGACCCCAGCACCCCACCTGGACCACGGGGACTACTGGAATTAGGGATCATTGCCTCCACCAGTACTTCTTGCTAGATATCTGGGCAATTATGTCATATTCCAAGGCTCAGGGTCAGCCTGAGAGAGAACCCGAGCTCCGCTATCTTTCCCCTGACACCCTCTCCCCATTTCCACCCCCAGCACCTGCCTAGTTCAGCAGGGCAAGCTACCAGGAAAACCAGGGATGATGTAGGAGGGGTGGTGGGGGTGTACTGACAGCAATTCTGGTAGCTGTCCCTGGTGCTGAAGGAGGGATGAGGCAGGGCAGGGCTGGGATTCTCGGCGACTGAGGCAGCAAAGCGAGAGGAATGAACACCGCAGAGAAAAAACGAGGGTGGGGGCGCGGCCATTTCTTGGCCCCCATCTGGCTGTACCTTTACATCAAGGGCGTTAGGGGAGGAGAGCAGCCCCGTCCTTGGGGAAAATGAAGGACAGCTATTGGATGAGGTGAGGATGTGTGCAAAGCACCTAACCTGGGAAGCGAAATGAGCCAAAAGGATGAAGTGTGAATCAGGCCTCTGGAAACACAATTGGAGACTAAGACATCATCTTGAATCCACATTCATACACATTCTTTAAGTGTCCTTTCTCCTGTTGTTTCTCCCACTCCCATCTTTACTGCCTCATTCTCACCCGACCTTGCACCTTTCCTAGTCTCCTGTGGATCTCCCTTCCTTCTCCCATTTGACCTTCAGATATCACCAGAAGCAGTGTCTCCCACCTATTATTATGCTTCTTCTTTGTCCTCTCTGCCACATCACCCACCAGGCTTGTGACTGCCTGTGGGTCAGGCAGTGAGGATGTTGTATGGCTAGGCAAACCCTCTTTTTCCTCTCCCAGCTCACGATATAGGATTTCTCCAGTGGCCCAGGAAAGCATGGGAGACGGGGTCAAAGATTTGTTGTTGATCAAAAGCACGGAGTCTGAGGGACTTCCTGGAGGCCTGGACTTGGGGACCACCAAGGTTTAGTTCAGGGACTAAGCTAATTGATTTTGTAGTCAGTCAGAAGGGGCTGGGCCCTGGATAGATGCTGTGATTAAGAGTGTCTTGGAATTAAAACTATCATTGCTAATTGGAACCCTCAGATTGTCCAGTGATTTTTTTCCTGAATGAAGGCTTCACCTAGCTCCCTCTTGACCTTTTCTTCCCACAGCTTTCACCACAGCATTGTGGCTCTCTCCTGCCCATGTCCTTGCCTGGGCTCAGCTAGAGTCTCAGTGGGCACAGGGAGGTTAGGGGGTGAAAGGAGTGCAGAGCTTCAAGCCTTGTTCCCTCAGGGTCACCTATGGAGCTTCTCTGTATGTGCAGTCCTGCCTGAGGTGCTGTGGAGGGAGGAGGGGCATCCCTGAAAAGCTCAGTTGAGGTGGAGGTGGGGCAGGTCACCCCCGCTCTGGGACACAGATGAGAAGACCCTAGCAGAGAAAGAGGAACCCTGGGTCCAGCTGTGTTGGGGTTGGGGTGGGGAAGGCTAGGGACAATGTGAAGTCCTAGGCCACCAATGCGAAGAGAGCTAGGAGAAGCACCAACATCTTCAGAAATCTCGGGATAAAGAGTGGTGAGTCATAACACAAACTAGTGCTTGTATAGCGCTGTCACATCCATTGTCTCAGTGCATATTTTTTCCAACAACCTTGTGAGGCTAATACAGTGTAGTTTATCTTTATTTTTAACTTTAAAATATTTCATAACAGTGGCAGATCATATATATATTAAAGATATTACATATATATTATATACAGGGTAGGACAAAAAGTAGGTTTACAGGTGTGTGTATGTGAAACAGAGTATGTTCTTGTATTATTATTTATTCATCATTACATTAGTTTCCATACAAACAACTATAAGCCTACTTTTGCCCCACCCTGTATATTAGAAAATATAGATGTATATATATGAGTATATGGATATATATAGAGAGAGAGATAATCGGGATATATAGTAGATACATATCTATATTATCTAAACAGTAGATATAGAGAGAGAGTAGTATACTATACAGTGGAGTATACTATATATGTGTGTATATATATGTATATATATATATACACACACACATATATATATATATATAAAGGAGTAATTCTAAAGCACACTCCCATGTAACAACTATCTAGATCAAGAGAGACTACTTTGCTGGCACCCCACAAGCCTCCCTACTGCTTTCACATTCCTTTCCCAAGCCCGCTATTGTAGCTTTCACAGTACTCATGTCCTTATTTTTCTTTAGAGTGTCATGATTTTCCTGTGAATTCCTAAATTATACGGTTTAGTTTGGCTGTTTTTGAATTTTGTACAAATGGAACCATCCAGTGTGTATACTTTTGTACCCTACTTCTTTGGCTCAACATTAAAGTTGTGAGATTCATTCATAATGCAGAATGTAGCTGCAGTTGAATGATTTCACAGTTGTATAGTATTACGAAGCATGACTATATCACAGTGTATTTACCTAATTTATCTACATTTTTATACTGAGGGACATCCAGGTTATTTCCAGATTTAACGCTGCTATTCCTGTATAGGAGAGGGGACCCAAAAACTCCCCTGGAATCTATTTATAAAAAACTGTAATTTATTCTTACATGTTTAAACTTCAGTCATCTTCAAAGTACTCCCCATTTGGTGCAATACTTCTACCAAGACGTTTTTCCACTGCTCAAAACACCTTTTGAACTCATCAATTTTGATGCCTTTTAGTGCTTCTGCCATTTTTTGTTTCACCTCTTCAACATCAGCAAAGCATTTCCCTTTGAGGAATTTTTTTGATCCAGGGAAACAAACAAAAACAGTCACCTGGGGCAAGATCGTGTGAATAGGGAGGGTGGGACATGAGGGTCATGATGTTTTTGGTCAAAAACCACTGAATACTCAGCACAGTGTGGGCAGGTGCGCTAGTAAATCACCCATCATAAAATAGGCAAGTGCGTTGAGTCTTCAAAAAAAAAAAAAAAAATCACTAAAGCCGAACACAGTCTCTCACAACGCCAAGTGGTGCACTGATACAGATGGGTTCCTAGAACAGCCACCTAGCAGGGAGGAAGCCTGTACTACAAGGGGCCGCCCTCCAGAAGATAATTCCAGGTTTTTGGTGGGTGGGTTGCCCCTGGTGTACCGTCTTAAGTTATATGGAATTGCTGTGGATGCAAATGTTTAACTTTACTAGCTATTGCCAAACTATTTTCCTAAATGGTGGTCCCAATTTACACTCTCATCTGCTGTAAATGGTCATCTGGTTTTTTGTATCTTTGCCCACTCTGAGCCGGGCCAGATCACCTGCTGTTAGTCTAGGTGGTTGGTGTAATACCCTCGTGGTTTTACTCCCTACCCCGCCCCACCTTAGGTTTTACTGGGACCTGATCATGCTCCTGCTGATGGTGGGGAACCTCATTGTGCTGCCCGTGGGCATCACCTTCTTCAAAGAGGAGAACTCTCCACCTTGGATCGTCTTCAACGTCCTCTCTGACACCTTTTTCCTGCTGGATCTGGTGCTCAACTTCCGCACGGGCATCGTGGTAGAGGAAGGCGCTGAGATCCTGCTGGCACCGGAGGCCATCCGCACTCGCTACCTGCGCACTTGGTTCCTGGTTGACCTCATCTCCTCTATCCCTGTGGATTACATCTTCCTGGTGGTGGAGTTGGAGCCACGACTGGACGCCGAGGTCTACAAAACAGCACGGGCCCTACGCATAGTGCGCTTCACCAAGATCCTCAGCCTTCTGCGGCTGCTCCGCCTCTCCCGCCTCATCCGCTACATACACCAGTGGGAGGAGGTGGGGTGGGGAGGTGGGCAGGGAGGCTCACAGACTTCTCCAAGACAGTGCTTTGGGTGGGACTCCCGGTGACTTTATAGGGTGGGCAGATGTGTGGGGCTTCGGAGGGTGGGCTCTCTCCAAAGCTGGTGGGGGAGAAGCGGAGACAGAACGAGGGCTCAGGGCATGGGGTCCGGAGTGAGGATGGCGGTGCAGCGGGGTGGAGCACAGCCGCCGCCCAGATACCTGAGGGCTAGTTGGACTCTGGGTGGGAGATGTGGGAAGAGAGCTAGGGATTGCAGGGTGTGAAAGAGGCTGGGGTTCCGCGTCACAGCAGCAGAGTTTAGTGGTTCAGAGTGCGTGCCGGCTCCACCATCTCTCACTGCCTGCAGTCAGATTCCAGTTTAACTATTTGCCTTATGAGAGTTGGTTTCCTCTTCTGTAAAATGAGAATGTTAAATGTACTTACGTATGAAAAGGTTATAGGATAAGGAGTTAATATCTGTAAAGCACTTGTTCTCAGCAAGTTACCTGTCATTATTGGAAGGGCCGCGGGTTGCTGACATCAACCCTAACACCTATGCCCTGGAGACATCACACTGCGAAACGCTCCCTCTCCTCTTTTCCACATTTGGCAGCGTGTGCGGCAGGCCTTTTCCAGTTTCTGCTGTGACACTGTGATTCTGGGCACATAACTGGCAGCAATTTCCCTATTCATAAGACGAGCACAGTAACACAGACTACTTTGTATTAGCTATATTTGTGTGCTGTAAAGCTCTATACAAATAATGGCCATTTAAAAAAAAAATCACGGGGCTGGGGACATTCAAAGAGAGAACTTGCAAGGCTAGGAATGGAGTAGGACTATCAGGAAGGGTTCCTGTCCACAGCAGCCCCTCCTCGGAATCCTCAGATCTTTCACATGACCTATGACCTGGCCAGTGCTGTGGTTCGCATCTTCAACCTCATCGGGATGATGCTGCTGCTCTGTCACTGGGATGGCTGTCTGCAGTTCCTGGTCCCCATGCTGCAGGACTTCCCTCCCGACTGCTGGGTCTCCATCAACCACATGGTGGTGAGAACTCCCCACAGCTCTGCCTCTGCTGGGCGTTCTAAGGGCTCTTCTGCCTGAGTAGCGGGATGACCACAGAGGGCAAGAGGTGGGAGATGCTGGAGAGATGGGTGTCCAAGACAGAAGACAGGGGTAAGAAGGTGGGGAAGTGAGAGGAGAGGGGAAAGAGACCCAGAGAAAGTGCTTTTGTGTTGAAGGAAACAGACAGGGAAGAAAACCTAGGCGGAAACGGAGGCCTCCCCCGCCCAGCTGCAAAAGAGGGCCCTTCTGCCTCAGGGATCCCCAGAACCAAACTTAAGTGCCTCCTGTGAGGTAGATCTGGAATGAAGGAGGCAGGGAAAAGGACTAAAAGAGGGAGAAAAAGGGCCAGGAGGAGAATGAGGCTCTGAAGGCCCTCTGCCCAGTTGTGCAATACTTTGTTCTCCAGAACCACTCGTGGGGCCGCCAGTATTCCCATGCCCTGTTCAAGGCCATGAGCCACATGCTGTGCATTGGCTATGGGCAGCAGGCACCTGTAGGCATGCCTGACGTCTGGCTCACCATGCTCAGCATGATTGTGGGCGCAACCTGCTATGCCATGTTCATTGGCCACGCCACTGCCCTCATCCAGTCCCTGGACTCCTCCCGGCGTCAGTACCAAGAGAAGGTCAGCAGGGACAGGAGAAGGAAGGGGTGGGTGTGAAGGGGTGCTGGAGGCTGGGTAGCTAAACTTCAGGCCCATTCTGATGCATACCCTTGTTGGTTCTGTGTCCCTCCTTGCCCCATGTCCATTTGTCCTGTGCCCCTGTGTGTACCTTTTTTTTTGTTTGGACCTATACCCTGTCCTCGGACCCCTCCTCTCCCTGTGTCTGGGTTTTCCTTTGACTGTGCTTTGTGCCCTCCCTATATCCACCATTATCCACGTGTCCTTCTGCGGCCCTATGTGTCTCCTTCTGTCTCCATGTTTTGCTTTTCTGGGTTTGGTCCCTCTCTGTGACCTTCCTCTATACATACCTGCTTCCACCGTCCTGACCCCATGTCTGTCTCTGTGTTCTCTTGCCTGCTGGCCGTTGGCTGGCCCTCCAGTATAAGCAGGTGGAGCAGTACATGTCCTTCCACAAGTTGCCAGCTGACACACGGCAGCGCATCCATGAGTATTATGAGCACCGCTACCAGGGCAAGATGTTCGATGAGGAGAACATCCTAGGCGAGCTGAGCGAGCCACTCCGGGAGGTAGGGCTGGGTAGGGCCCTGGTGGCTCTTCAGGGACCTGGGCTTCTAGGATGCCATCTGGGGTTAAGCATTTTCGTCAGCAGAGGGCCCCATGGGAGGCCAGGCTCTGGGGGACTTTCAGGGGTTAAGTTCTTTCCTGAAGTTGTTTAAAAATTGTTTCTTTTTACTAATTGATTTGAGAGAGAGAGGCTTGCTGTTCCACTTATTTACCCGTTCACTGGTTGATTCTTATACATGCCCTGACTGGGGATTGAATCTGAAACCTTGGTGTATCAGGACAACACTCTAACTAACTGAGCTACCTGGCCAGGGCCTTGGAGTTCTTATGGGGGTGAAGGGTCCATGGGAAGGGGTATCAGGGACTTCTGTTTTTATGGGGATGGTCCTTCGAGGGCTCATTGGAGAGCTCTGAAGGCCGGAGCTTAGGGGTTGTCCCAGGCCCGCGGAAGCGTCCCCATCCTTTCTCATCATAACCCCAGGGTGGGGCCTCTGGAAACAGATGAGCTCAATGGGGGCACTTTGGGGCCGGGGGCACAGCCTGCCTGACAGGCCCCTCCCCTTCCCAGGAGATCATTAACTTCACCTGCAGGGGCCTGGTGGCCCACATGCCGCTGTTCGCCCATGCCGACCCCAGCTTCGTCACGGCGGTGCTCACCAAGCTGCGCTTTGAGGTCTTCCAGCCGGGGGACCTCGTGGTGCGTGAGGGCTCTGTGGGCAGGAAGATGTACTTCATCCAGCACGGGCTGCTCAGCGTGCTGGCACGTGGTGCCCGGGACACCCGCCTCACTGATGGATCCTACTTTGGGGGTCAGCAGGCCTCAGGAAGGGTGGGGGGGCTGGAGCAGAGGATAGAGGGCAGATGCTCCCCTGGATCAGGGTCCCTACCTGGCCGTGCTGCATAGGCAGAGTTCCGGCGCCTCCCCAGGCCTATTTAACCAGGGTCTCTGGGCCTGGAGCCTGGAGCGCTATAATTTTAAGAAGCTTCTTAAGAGATTCCAGTGCACAGCCAGGTTGAAAATTTCTGAGCCAGAGGGCCTTTTAGAACCCATAATTGGTAAGCTCTGAGGCTCCCAGGAGGGACAGAGAGTAATAAGGCTGTGCTGTCCCCAGGGCTCCCTGGTGGTGTGAGTCAGGGGCCCAGCCTGTTGCACTGGGGGTAGTTCTGCGAGCTGTTGCCTGAAGTGACTTGAAGCTCATATAATCCCTCCGTCTCCAAACCGCCTACCACCCTCCAGCATTTCTATCATGTTGTCCTTTGGCCTCTGGCACCGCTCTTCTCCTTCTGGCTGCCCATGGTGTTCATTGAAGGGGTGCTTCCGCAGGCTTACCCCTCGGGGTAGAGCAGTGGGGGTGGGGTGAAAAGCAAAGTGGAGAGGAAGAACTGAGGGTGTGCGGGCCAGCAAGACCTGCCTGATTGTCAGCTTCAGTTTGGAGAGAGTGAGGACAATAATTGTGCAGGTCTGGAGTGACAGGCTTGGAGCATTTAGGGACGCTGGGGTGGGTGAGTAAACACCAGTTTCTCCCATCTGGGAAGGAGCCTGAGGACGCTGGGTCAGCTGCTGCAGGCCTGGTGAGAGGGACTTCTGGGGACATTGGTTCTGAAGACCTCCTCCCAAATTTGGCAGAGATCTGTCTCCTGACTCGGGGCCGGCGCACAGCCAGCGTGCGAGCTGACACCTACTGTCGCCTCTACTCACTCAGCGTGGACCACTTCAATGCTGTGCTCGAGGAGTTCCCCATGATGCGCCGGGCCTTTGAGACTGTGGCCATGGATCGACTGCGCCGCATTGGTGAGCCCGTCCACCGTGTCTTCTTTGGGTCCAACCTGGGCCCTCACCCATTTCCATAGCAAGAAGCCCCCGTTGTCCCAGGGTCCGTGCTTTCGTGTTCCAGTGTCATACCCAGGCCCACCCTCGTCCCAGCAAATGCCCCCATAGGCCTTTCAATGCTGTGGTTCACCGTCCTTGCGACTCAGCATCTCTTACCCTGGAGAGACTGTCCCAAGCCCCCATGCCCTGAGCCCTCCTTCCCTGAGTCCCTGACCCTCACTGTCTCTGATACATACTCTCATCCCTTGACCCTCTTCCTCCAAGCCCATCTCCCAACTTCCATCTCCATTCTCTTGACCCGTATCCCCTACCTCCATTCCACCGTCGTCACTTGACCCTTCCGTTCTTTGACATTCAACCTTTATCTTAGATTTCTTCACTATCCTTCACTTCTCCCTCTTGGGACAACCTCTAGGTAAGAAGAATTCCATGCTGCAGCGGAAGCGCTCCGAGCCAAGTCCTGGCAGCAGTGGGGGCATCATGGAGCAGCACTTGGTCCAACATGACAGGGACATGGCTCGGGGTGTTCAGGGCCTGGCCCCACGCACAGGAGCTCGGCTCAGCGGAAAACCAGTGCTGTGGGAACCACTGGTGCACGCACCCCTGCAGGCAGCCGCTGTGACCTCCAATGTGGCCATTGCCCTAACTCACCAGCGGGGACCCCTGCCCCTCTCCCCAGACTCTCCAGCTACCCTCCTTGCTCGCTCTGCTCGATGCTCGTCGGGCTCCCCAGCTTCTCCACTGGTGCCTGTCCGACCTGGCCCTCTGCTGGCCCGGGGGCCATGGGCGTCCACCTCCCGCCTGCCTGCCCCACCTGCCCGAACTCTCCACGCCAGCCTTTCCCAGGCTGGGCGCTCCCAGGTGTCCCTGCTGGGCCCCATCCCGGGGGGTGGACGGCGGCTAGGACCTCGGGGCCGCCCACTCTCAGCATCCCAACCCTCTCTGCCTCAGCGGGCAGTAGGTGATGGCTCTCCTGGGCGGAAGGGCTCAGGAAGTGAACGACTGGTCCCGTCAGGGCTCCTGGCCAATCCTCCAGGGGCAGCCCAGCCCCCCAGGCCACCAGTGCCTGGGCCAGCCACCCCTAGGGGCCCCCAGCTCTCTGCCAACATGTGAAACCCTTAGGTAATTTCTCGGGTGCAGTAGTGTGTGCCTGAAGGCAGATGCCTCCCAGGGAAGGCCAAGGGGGTCTGAAGCACTGCCCTAAGGGAACATCTCTCCTTACTGCCAAGAACATAGTTTCTGCCCTCATCTCAGGCACCCTGCAGCCTCCTAACCCATTCACCCATTCGTCGAATGCACTGCGTGCCTACCACGTTCAAGGCACTGTGTCTCCACTGCCAAATAGAAGAGACCCTAAGTGCTCTGATAAAGGTATTCCCCCAGCCATGGTCCTGCCAGGCGCAGGCCCAGGCTCTTAATTCCACCTTGTTAAGCACAAGTACTTGCCATCACCATCACTGCCAAGTAACTAGATGTCTGTCTCCCGGCCCGTGGCCCTGCAGGTTCTGCCTAGAGTGGTTATCTTCCAGTCCTCCTTGCATAGCTGGCCAATTACCTGTGTCCCCATTGCTGTCAACAAATGTTTTGGGTCCTCAATGCGGGCATCCGCCCTCACTACCATGGGTTGGCCTTCCCTCGCTATATCCCCTGAGTGGGAACACATCTTCTGCTGAGTTCTCTGCACTCTCTGTCTCTGTGGCAGAACTGTCTCTTTGTAAACTGGGAGCCAGCCACCTCCTCCCTGTGTCCCTGCCCCAGTGGTGTCCCCCTTGAAGCTAAGGAATGTTTGGCACCTCCTTATTTAGTGTACCAGCCTATATCCCCCCAGGTGAGGGGCAAGTGGCTGAATCCTTAGGTGGCATTTTTCTTCTTTCCTTCCCTTATTTATTCAATTATTTAACATTTATTCATTTGCTAATTTTATTTATTATCAATTCATTTTATTCATCCATTTCTTTATCTATACCTCCCACCCCCTCCTAGTAGGGAGCCAGGAAGGGGCACCCTCTCCCCCACGCCAGTCCCTGTGGTCCTTGTCCAGCTCCATTGGCAGCAACACCGGAATCTTCTTCTTATTTAGGTAGGAGCAGAAGGGCCACCTGAGGCAGGGGAGGTGGGGGATATTCTTCCGTTTAGTTTTGGGATTTTTTTTTCCCCCTACTGAGTTTGCTGTTGGTGCAAGAGTAAGGTGAGGGCCCAAGGCACCTGAGCCTGTGAAAGGGCAGGCTAGCCAGCACCTCTGCCTTCTCAGGGACTAGAGAAGTCCCTTCCTCCGTCCCTCTGTCTTCATGCCTACTCTACAGCCTCTAAGAATGAGGGGCCAGGACCCCAAATCTCATTTTCTTCTGGGTGGGGAGTTCTGGAATATTAGGTATGTGGGAGAAGTTTTATAATTGCTTCCAAATAGCTGGGTTTAAAAAGAAAATAGAGACACTCATTTTGGCTCCTGGTCTGTGTATGGGAACAAAGAAGGAGTTTCTGGGTGGGGAGGAGGCCACTCACCCCGCAAGGCACGAGATGGCCCTGAGAGCAGCCGGAGCGGTCTGCGACCCCGGCAGAAGCTGTGACGACAGCGACAAGATGTGCTCCCCGCTGTCCATCTACCCTGTCTTCCCCCAAAGGGTAATGCATTGATGTCACATTACTTATAATGAAGGAAGAGGTGGCACTCTCCTTGGGAGATAATCAGATTATCACAAAGGCCACAGAGGAGAACATCAGACTGTACGGATATGCAATATTTCTCAAATAGTGGTTTTGTGGAGACTGGACATGATTTCCCTGTTCTTCTCTCCCCCATCCCCAGGTGTGGGAAGCCTGGGGAAATAGAATTAACCAGTTAAGCTGGGATTAAAGGCTCAGAGCATTTTAGGGTCCAGCTGAGAGCACTGGGTGCAGGCACCAATTATACCATTGGTGCTGCCAGATGGCCAGTGCTCAACTGGATAGACTTTGAGGGTCTGCGTGGAGAGGAGGAAGGGGCACCCTGGAATGTGGCTAGATGGCAGATGTGGCCTCAGGTGGGGACGACTGGGAGTAGAGAAGACAAATGAAGGGCGTGGAGCAGAGGGAATGGGGAGGAGGGATGGGGTCCAGAGCTGGCTGTGCCAGAGGGGGAGGGGCATCTCAGGATATGCTCAGCACTCGCATGATGTTGGTATAGCCAGAGCCAGGTCGCCAGCCTGTCACCACAATCACCAGGTCTCCGGCATGGAGGAAGCCACGAAGCTTTCCTGGGGTAGGGGAAGAAGATGACCATCAGCCACTGAGAGATGGCTGTAATTACCAGTCTAGCTCTGTAATGAGAACCAGCCACCACCTTCTACTTCCTCAAGGCCATCCTGTAAGGGCCTGAGGCAAACTGTATAGTGCATGCCACAGGTAGCACCACAAGAAATTTGACCCCTCCATTATATTAGAACTGCAGGTATGTCCGTGGATGACACGGGAAGTGTTGCTAAGCAGCAAGTCTGTCCACTTGTGTTGCTATGCCAATAGGAGGAGGTGGGGTATGATCATAGCCAGTTTTAAAATAGATTCTCATTCCGGCTGCAGAGGACTAGGTCCCCTTTCTCCTTCCACCTCCTGCTCCTTATGTCACACCAGCCTCTAGCCACCTGGTGCAGGCGACAGTGGGGCCGACTTCTTAGGAAAGGCCTTGACCTCTCTCCCTCTGCCCCCTTCCCCCCAGCATGCCCCATGGAGGCCAAAACCTCTCTGAGCTTGAGTGAACCTCACAAAGTAAATCTGGGACCAGAGTATAGAGGCAAGGCCCTTTGGGTGGGTGTGGGAAGTGGGTGGGGCTTGTGATACAAATCCAGGGTGGGCGGGGAGGAAGTCTAGATGGCTCACCACTTTCAATGCCAAATTGAACCCGGCGATCCACATCATCTGCCCAGACGGCCTGTGGAGGTTCACGGTAGAGCAAGGGGAAGACTCCTCGGCACAGGTGGGCCTGGCGGGCAGCCTGGGCAGAGCGGGTGACAGCAATGACTGCTGCCCGAGGTCGGTACCGAGACAGAAGCTGAGCTGAGCTGAAGGAGGCAGAGGTGGTCAGCCCGGAAGAGTGAAAGAGTGAGTGCTGAGTCAGGAAACTAGAGTTTGGGTTCTGGTTCCAGGTGTCAACAACAAGCTGTGTGACCCAAGTTGGGTAAGTCATATTTTTCTGGGCCTTGGTTTTTCTCGCCTGTTAAATGGGTATAAGAATACTTCCTTTTCTTACCGCACAAGCAAGATATAATAAAGGATACATCAACTGAAATAGGAAAAACTTCTTTGAGAAACAAAACCCTTCTGAGAAGGTACCTATATATAGTACTTACCTTAAAAAGGCCTCTGGTTAATTCTCACAAGCCCATGAGGACACAGGCGTATAGAGCCTGGGCGACTTACCCAAGGTGTCATTTCAGAGCACAGACTTGACCTCAGACCTTCTGGGTCCTTCTGCAACACCTCAGCAGTGTAAGACTTTGTGGGCTAAATGCAAAGGACTTGCTTCTGAGCCCTCAGAGCCCAAATGGCCTGGAAGCCAATGCTTCCAGTGATGCTACCTTCCCCTTCAACCCCCTGCAGCTCACTGGCACAATCCCTGCGGTGCGCCGAGATCCGCCTCGCCTGGCCCCCAGATCTCATAGCTACCTCTCCTTTTGCCCCAGAACGATAGTCTTCATCTCTGATGACAAGGCATAACCCAAGTCTGTGACCCATCCCACCCTGCCCCTGACCCAAAGACTTGTCTTGGTGTTCCCGGAGTTCCTCTCACCGGCCGGTCTTGGTCAGCACGATGATGGCAGCAGCGCAGCACTTGAAGGAAGCCTCCACAGCGCCGATGGCAGTGACTTCGGTGGGATCACGGCTCAGTGGCGCTGCCCGGCGCAGCTCCTCAAACAGCTGCCGGTGGTACACTGCGGCCTCTGCCTCCCGGGCAATCTACAAGCACCAGGAGGTCAGGCTTGGGCAGGGGCGCTGGGGTCTTGCAGGGATTTGGATGTCTAGCCCATCTGCCTCACATTAGGAGCTCCTACCGCGTGCTGCATCACTACGGCCTCCACAGGAAATTTGCCCTTGGCAGTTTCCCCCGACAGCATGATGCAGTCTGCACCATCCAGCACGGCGTTGGCCACGTCGCTCGTCTCTGCCCGTGTTGGCCGGGGCTTACTAATCATGCTCTCCAGCATCTGGAGGACATCTGAGTGTCAGAGCTGTAGGAGTCACACTCTGATCAGGGAAGCTACTTCTCTGACATCCATCCACACTCTCAGAGTGCCCTGAACGCCAGGGTCACAATCACAGACTGTGTAGTCCTTATCTGAAAATGGGGGTAACAGTATCTCTTCCTAACTTCACTGCTTGAGGATCAAACGACTGGACAGCAAAATGTGCTATAGACCTAAGGTGCAGGTATTCACCCTCAGGTGTCCCCAAAAGCCACAAAGTGCCCCTGCCCTCTCCAGGCTCACTCCAGACCTGTGTGGCACAGACAACTGGCTTGCCCGCCAAGTTGCAACGTCCAATCATCATCTTCTGAGCTAGGAAAACCTTCTCAGCTGGGATCTCGATGCCCAGATCACCCCGTGCCACCATGATGCCGTCGCTCACCTCCAGGATTTCATCAAACCTGGGTGGTTGGAGGAGTCAGGTCTGGGGAAGAGCCAGGAGAAGCCAGGGAAAGGAGGTGGGAGGAGAGGAGGAGCTGTGGGGCCGTTAAGGGCCTGGTTAGGGAACAAAGGCCAAGCCTCACTTCTTCACGCCTTCGTGGTTCTCGATTTTGCTGATGATCTTGATGGCCTGTCCTTCTGGCCCCAGAGCAGCCCGGACTGCAGCCACATCGCTGGGTTTCCGCACAAAGGAGGCAAAGACGATGTCTACCCCATGCTCCACCCCAAAGCGCAGATCCCGGATGTCTTGCTCGGACAGCCCGGGCAAGTCCACCTGGGCGCCCGGCAGGTTCACGCCCTTCCGGCTGCCCAGGACACCGCCATTCTCCACCTCGGTCTCCAGCGCCTCTGGCCCTGTTGGCACGGAAAGAGCCGGCCTAGGTCAGGGGTGAGGCCGGGGGCAGAGACACGGCATAGGGAACAGGGGCTTGGACCCCTCAAGAGGTTAGGAACTACATCCTAATCTATTCGGCTGTCTGCCCTCATCCCGGACTCCACACTGAACAGGCACCGGGTGGACTTCCGTGGAAGAAACGACTACCCCGCCGGTCCAGCCCCCAGGCCAGGGTGAGCCAAGAGTCTGGATGCTGGGGGCTCCTGGGACGAGCTGGGGTAGGACGCTGGCCCGGGTAAGGTGGGGTGGGTGCAAGGGACAACTGCGGGAGCCCGAGGGGAGAGAGTGCGCCCAGCTCAGCGCGCGGCGGGGGCGGGAGGCGCGTCCGCACCGATTTTCTTGACCACTAGGGAGATGAGCCCGTCGTCAATGTAGATGCGGCCCCCCACCGGCACGACCCTGACGATGTTGGGGTAGTCCACCCACACGGTGTTCGCGTCTCCCCGCGTCTGGAACGCCGGGTCCACGGTCACCAGCACCTGGGAGCCCTTCACTAGCTCCACTTCCGACTCTGGGCCCTGGGGGCGGAGCCACGAGTCCTGAGTTCAGCCCCTCCCCACGCTCCGCCCCCTGGGCAATTGCCTCCACGCCTTACCGCCCCCTGCTGGCCCCCACCATCTGGTCCTGACGGGCCCCGCCTCTCACCCCCTGCAGGATCCCAGTGCGAATCTCTGGTCCTTTGGTATCCAGAGCGATGGCCACCGGTCGGTAGCTTAGTGGGGAAGCTGCAAAGCTCTCCACCGCCTCTCGGATGTTGGCGATGGACTCAGCGTGGTACTGGTGACAGAACCGAGTGGAGATTTAAAGGGAAGGTGGCCAGGACCCCGGGGCATCATATAACCCTGCTACCTCCTGTGGCCCCTTCCCGAACCTCATGTGAGCCATGGGAGAAGTTGAGTCGAGCAATGTTCATCCCGGCCTTGATCATCTCCTTGAGGCGCTCTACAGAGCGAGATGCCGGCCCTGGAACGAGAGATTTCACTCAGACAACTTCCCCAAACCTGAGACACAACCAAACCCACCGCTACCACCCTCTGAGACACTGTATGCCACAGAAGTCCTGCTACCTGATCTTTATTCCCTGACCTACCTTTGCTCACAAGTCAGAAACTACATTCCCCTCTCCAGCCAACACGTTGGGGAGGCAGCACTGCGGCAAGGGGGAGGCGCTTGGAGGGGAAGGTCTTCTGTCAGGTCTGAATGAGGTAATGGTCTGCAGTGATGTGAGTGCTGCCGTTTAGGGGTAACCCCAGTGTATGAGGGAGGCACAGCTGGGAATGGGTACAGGCCTGCAGCGCTGATGGGCCTCATTCTGACCGAGGAGAGTTGAGTTGTAGCGCATTTCTACTTGCTGATAGGGCAGTTGTGTAACTGAGGGGCAGTTGTGTAACTGAGAGCCAGTTGGTCAAGCTCTCCAGCCCCTACCTAAAGCCCCCCCCCTTTTTTTTAAAGAGAGGGAGAGAAACATCGATGTATGAGAGACCCAGCCTGCAACCCAAGCATGTGCCTAGACTGGAAGTCGAACCCCGACATTTTGGTTCACAGGCCAGCCCTCAGTCCACTGAGCCACACCAGCCAGGGCTAAAGCCAATTCTGTTTTCCCCATTTTATTGATTCTAGAGAGAGAGGAAGGGAGGGAGAAGGAGAGAGAGAGAATTATCGATGTGAAAGAGAAACAAACATCCATTGCCTCCTGCACGCGCCCTGACCAGGGACTGAACCCCCCAACCCAGGCATGTGCCCTGACCAGGAACCAAACCTGTGACCTTTTGGTTTGTCAGATAACACCCAACCAACTGAGCCACACCGGCCAAGGCTAGAGCCATTCCTTGGAATTGTGCATTAGATTCCCTCCTGCTCAGCTGCACAAAGACTTAGATTCAGCTGTTTTCCAGTCCTCCACGTCATCAACGCTTTCCTTTTAATTGGATCATTCTCATCAGCATATAAACCTGCTGTTATTTCTTTCGTCATAAAAAATTCTCTTATTCTCAATTCCTCTTCCAGCTGCAGTTCTATTCCTTTGCTCTCCTTTGCAGCAGGTCTCGTCCTAAGGGTTTTCTGTACTTGCTGCCTCCAGTTCCCCACCCCCTATTCTTTGTACCCACTCCCGTCAGGTTCACACCCCCTCTCTCCGCCTCGTCTGTTCTTGTCCAGGGCACCAAGAATGTCTGTGTTATTGCTCAGTCTAATGGTCCGTTCTCAGTCCTCATCTTAGCTGGCCCATTGACAGCATTGGATACATGTCCTTGACGTACCTTCCTCGCTTGTCCCCTGGGACACCACACTTTCTTGATTCACTCCTAGCTCACTGGCTCTCCTTCTCAACCTCACTTGCTCCTCCCTCCCTTTAGCATTAGATGTCTCATTCTCTTTGCCATTTCACTTTCACTCCCTTGGTGGTCTCAATTAGTTTTATGGCTTTAAATACCATCTATAAGCTGGCAATTTATATCTCCAGTTTTGTATCTCAAATTTATATCTTCAGTTCAGACCTCCCCCCGCCCCCCGCGCTGTGTATCTGAGTGCCTACTCTGTATCACACTTGAGTGTCTACTATGCATCGCAAACTCAACTTTCCCCAAACTGAACTCCTGATCTCCGCCCCTCAACCTCTCCACCACAGGCTTTCCTCCTCATTTGAGGATGCATCCTTCTAGTCCTGAAACCTAAAACCTTGGGATCATCCTTGACTCCTTTTCACCCTCACCCCACCCTACATCCTATCCATTGGGAAGTCCTTCAAAATGCTTCCAGAATCTAACCACATCTTTTTTTTTCTTTAATTTAAATTTTACTTTTCAATTACAGTTCGCATTCAGTAGGATCTGGTGACTTCTCCCCACCTCCACTGCCACTACCTGGTCTGACCTAGAAATACTGCAGGAGCAGCTTCTGCCCTTGCCTCCAACCCCACGATCAGTCTATTTGTGATGCAGCCAGAGCGGTTCTGCGGAGGCATAGGTAAGAGCATGTTGTTTCCCCACTCAAAACTCTCCAAGTAGTTTTCTATTTTAGTTGGAAGAAAGAAAACTCAGTTCAAATCCTAAAAATTCTAAGTCCTACATAATCTTACGCTCCCCTGAAGTCCCTTTATTGTCCCTACTCTTCTTTCCCTTGATAGTTTCTAACCATCTCAGCCTTCTTGACTTGGGGCCTTTGCACTGACGGCTCCGTTCACCTGGAGCTCTCTTTCCCAGACAACTACGCTGATCATTCTCTCCCCTCCTTCGAATCTTTGCTCAGGCGTAATTTTAAGAATAGCGGCTTCTCTGACCCTCTCTTTAGGACTGCGGATGCCTCCTGCCCTGGCACCTGTGGTCACCTGCTCCAGGTTCTATTGCTTTTTTTTCATAGAATTCATCACTTTCCCTTATTATTATTATTTTTATCCTCACCAAAGGACTTTTTTTTTTTTTTGCATTGCTTTCAGAGAGAGAGAGGAAGGGAGAAGTAACATCAATATGAGGGAGAAACATTGATTGGTTGCCTCCAGTATGCACCCAGACCAGAGGTTGGACCTGCAACCTTTTGGTTACTGGATGATGCTCCAACCAACTGAGCCACACCAGCCAGGTCAATAGAAGGGGAGACCCAAAAAAGCAGGAATGACCTTCTGGAAGGCAGGCCCCTTGTATTGCTGACTTCCCCTGCTAGGTGATTGTTCTAGGAACCCACCTGTATCAGTCAGTGCACCACCTGGTGCTGTTGCGAGAGGCCGTGTTCAGCTTCAGTGAATTTTTTTGAAGACTCTTTCAACGCATTTGCCCATCTCATGAGGGGTGGTTTACGAGCGCACCTGCCCGCACGGCACTGAGTGTTCCGCAGCTTTGGACCCAAAATGGCATGATTCCAATGCCCCACCTTCCCTATTCACCCAATCTCGCCCTGAGCTACTTCTTTTTGTTTCCCTGGATGAAAAATGTCCTCAAGGGGAAATGTTTTGCTGATATAGAAGAGGTGAAACAAAAAATGGCAGAAGCACTTAAAAGGCATCAAGATCAACCAGTTCAAAAACTGTTTTGAGCCGTGGAAAAACTTCTTGATAGGTGTATTGCATCAAATGGAGAGTACTTTGAAGGTTACTCAGCAAAACATGTAAGAATAAATACATAATTTTTTAATAAAGAAACTCTTTTTTGGGACTCCCCTTGTATTTATCACTTTCTAACATACTAAGTAATTTACTGTGCTTATTATTTATTATCCCACCTGGCTAGAGTGTCAGCTCCCCAAGAGTAGTGATTTTCGTTTATTTCACTGATCTACTCCCAGGGCCCAAAAGCTTATCTGCCAAATGCTCAACAAATATTTGCCGAATGGCACCCTGACCGGTGCGGCTCAGTTGGTTGGGCGTCCTCCCACAAACCAAAAGGTTTCTAATTCGATCTCCAGTTAGGGCACATGCCTCGGTTTTGGGGCCAGTCGCGGTGCATACGAGAATTAACAGATCAATGTTTCTCTCTCACATCAATGTTTCTCTTCCTCTCTTTCTCTCTCCCTTCCCCTCTCTCTAAAAATAAATGAATAAAATCTTTTAAGAAATTTGCTGAATGAATGATTCATGGAGAAATCTCAAAGGAGACAAAAGATGAGGAAGCACCTTGAGAAACACCCGAGAAGCCCTGTGATGCTGCGAGGGGCAGAGGACACTTACCGATGGTGGCAATGATGCTGGTACTGCGGGCAGCCACAGGCTCCGAGTCGATGTCCAGCAGGCAGAGGTGTTCCAGGAAGGTGTCTGCCATTGCAGCTGGCAGCTGCTGCCTCTGGAAGAAGGCAGTGCCCAGCTCCTGGGTCAGCTGGGCCACGCTAGCCAGTCGCAGGTACCCCGCTGGCCCTGTAGTAGAAGGGGGCTGCATAGGAACCTGGCTCTCTTCCCTTTATCTCAGCACACCCTCTATTCCTTCCCTCAGCTCTCCAGTTTTTGTTGAGTCTTATTTATGAGCTGAGCATTATGCATACAATGTCCTACACAGTCACAAGGATCCTATCAAGCATGTGCTGTTTAAGTGCTCTACAGTGATCCCAATTTTACAGATAAAGAAACAGAGGCCAAGAAAGATGAAATAAATTGCCCAATATCATATAGCTTCTAAGTAACAGAGATGGGATTCACACTCAGGTCTGACTAACTCCAGGCTCAAGTCCAGCTCTCTGATCCCTCACAATCTCCAACCTCTTGCCCTTCAGAGGCTGACTTCCCTCAGCCTCAGCCTCCACCTTGAGGTCTCATTATTCAGGCCCAGAATTACCCAGTTCCCCTTTCTAAGGTCCCTGTTGTTTTCCTTCCGATGGTTGGCTTTTCCATCCCCTCCTCTGAGTCTCCTCAGCTCCTTCAATTTCCACTCCATCCAGGCCCTGAGACCCTGTAGCTTGACTCAGCCCAGAGGGGCCTCTGCAGCCATACCCTCCATGCTGCCGCACGCCTGCTGGTCTCTGCTGGTCTGCTCCACGCTGTCAGGCTGCCAGAGGCATGAGGCCCTGCTGGGTTGGGGATCAGTTCTGCCTACTGGTTAAAGTGTCACCAGTGTCTCCCCTGTCACCGAAAGCCCTGTGAACCAGGGGTCAGAGTCCAAAGAACCATAGGAGTGCCACATGATTCTCATGCTGCAGGTTCCTCTCTGCTTTCCTTTTAGGACCTGGTAGAAGAGGCCCAGACCAGGGTCCATAATTTAACACAGAGGAGACCCTGATGAACACAGACCCTCCCCAAACCCCTCCTAGACCACAGCAGATCTTTTGCACCCTCCACCCCAGTCCTGATTTCTACCCTCATCTTCCTACCCCTTAAAAAGAAACTTTTTATGTATTAATTTGAGAGAGAGAGAGAGAGAGAGAGAGAGAGAGAGAAAGAGAGAGAGAGACAGCACTGTTGTTCCACCCATCAATGCATCCACTGGCTGATTCTAGTACATGACATGATGGGATCGAACCCGCAACCTTGGTGTCTTGGGGCCAACACTCCCACCAACTCAGCTACCTGGCCAGGGCTCGTCCCCCTCTTTTCACTGGTTTCCGTTGATCCTTCTTACCTCCTGGAGCCCCAATTAGGAAGGACTTTGCTAAGTCCCTTTGAGACTTAGAGATCCATGACCAAAGCTGCTGGGGTTGTGTGTTCTCATTCTCCTGGACTGACATGCTCCCAAAGTGCGGGCTGGGGCTGCCCAGAGTGTAGGGAGAGAGGAAGAGAGGATGACAAAACTGCTGGCCTTATCTAAGAAAGCCAGAGAGAAGAAAAGGGACACACCCAGTAGGCTGCCCCTGTCTCCACACAGAGTCCCTCCCCAGACCTACTGGCTCTTTTCCCTTGTTTTCTGGCATTTCCCCTCTCTCTCATATTTCCTGAGAGATTTTTTTCTTTTTTAAAAAATTTATTTTTCAATTACAGCTTACATTCAATATTATCTTGTATTAGTTTCAGTTGTACAGCACAGTGGTCAATCATATACATTATAAAGTGACCTCCCTGATATTTCAAGTACCCAACTGGCCCCATACATAGTTATTACAATATTATTGACTATTTTGCCTCCGCTGCACTTTACATGCCTGTGACCATTTTGTAACTGCAAATTTGTATTTCTAAATCCATTCATCTTTTTCACCCAGCTCCTCAGCGCCCCTCCCCTCTTGCAGCCATCAGTCTGTTCTTTGTATCTATGAATCTTTTTCTATCTTGTTTGTTTATTTTGTTTTTAGATTCCATATATAAGTGACTTTCTTTTTAATTATATTTTATTGATTATGCTATTACAGTTGTCCCAATTTTTCCCCCTTTGCCCCTATCCCCCCCGCCACACCCCACTCCCTCAGGCAGTCCCCAGCACCATTGTTCATGCCCATGGGTCATGCCTAGAAATTCTTTGGCTTCTTCATTTCCTGTACTGTATTTACATCCCCATGGCTATTCTGTAATTACCTGTTTGCACTTCTTCATCCCCTACCTCTTCACCCATTCCCCCACACCCTCGCCCATCTGGCAACCATCAAAATGCTCTCTGAATCCATGATTCTGAATCTGTTTTTCTTGTTTACTTAGTTTGCTTTTCTGATTCAGTTGTTGATAGGTATGTATTTATTGCTATTTTATTGTTCATAGTTTTGATCTTTTTTTAAAAAATAAATCCCTTTAACATATCATACAATAATGATTTGGTGATGATGAATTCCTTTAGTTTTTTTCTTTTCTGGGAAGCTCTTTATCTGCCCTTCCATTCTAAATGATAGCTTTGCTGGGTAGAGCAATCTTCACAGTACTTTGAGTGTTTCTTGACAATCCCTTCTGCCCTGCAAAGTTTATTTTGGGAAATCAGCTGACAGTTTTAAGGGAACTCCCCTGTAGGTACTTAACTGTTTTTCTTTTGCTGCTTTTAAGATTCTCTTTTGATCTTTAACCTTTGGCATTTTAATTATGATGTGTCTTGGAGTGGGCCTCTTCGCATCCATCTTGTTTGGGAATCTCTGTGCTTCCTGGACTTGCATGTCTATTTCCTTCCCCAAATTAAGGAAGTTTTGTTTCATTATTTTAAAACATTATTTCATTATTGTTTCATCATTTTTTCTTGCTCTTTCTCTTCTTTTCGCACCCCTATGATGCAAATGTTGGACCTCTTAAAGTTGCCCCAGATTCTGTTTATATTATTCTCATTTTTTTAGATTCTTTTTTCTTCTTGTTGTTCTGATTGGTTGGTTTTTTTCTTCCTTGTGTTCCAAATCATTGATTTGATTCTCGGCTTCATTCACTCTACTGTGGTTTCCCTGTAAATTGTTCTTTATTTCACTTAGTGTATCCATTGTTTCCAAATGGATGTTTTTTATGCTGTTGAGGTCCTCACTAAGTTCCTTGAGCATCCTTATAACCAGTGTTTTGAACTCTGCATCTGATAGATTGCTTAACTCCCTTTTGTATAGTTCTTTTTGTGGAGTTTTGATCAGTCCTTGCATTTGGGCCATGTTTCTTTGTCGCCTGATTTTGACAGCCTCTCTGTGTTTGTTTCTATGTATTAGGTAGCGCTCCTATGGCTCCTTGTCTTAGGTAGCGTGGTCTAATGTAGTACGTGTCTTGTAGGGTCCAGCCTCCCCATCACCCATGCCGGGTACTCGAGGTATGCCATTTGTGTGGGCTGAGTACACCCTCCTCTTGTAGTTGAGCCTTGGTTGCTGTTGGCAAGTCAATGGGAGGGATTTACTCAGGGAAATCAGCTGCAAGGATTAGCTGTGACCACTGACCACCAACCTCTGCCCTCCATGGAGGATCAGCTGTGTAGGGCCAGGATGATAGTGTTCTGACATAGTTTGTTGCTGTCCACTGGGTGGGCAAGCCTTGAGGTTTCCAGGGTGGTGCAGGCCAAGGCCAGCCCCTGCCTGTGTTTTGCCCAGGGCCACCCTGCCTGGGCTATAAAGCAATATAAAAATGGCTGCTACTTCTGCTGGGCTTGGAGATGCCCAGGTGAAGCTGTGAATCTAGGCTGGCTGCTGCTAGTGCCATCCATGCCTGGGGCCACTTAACAAGTGGTACAGGGGCCAGGAGCTCACTGAGGCTGGCTGTTGCTTGTTTGAAAGGATTTAGGAAGTTGTGAAGCAGTAGCTAAGATCAGCCATTGATATGGAAAAACCATTGTTAACAGCTATAAATAGGGTGAGGTGGAGCCTCAGGGGAATCTCCAGGGCAGGATAAACCGCGTTAGCCAGGTTAATGGACTCTCAGATATGCCACCAGCCTGCTGGCTCTGTGGCTCTGTGGGGAGATGGTTCAGAAAAGAGATAATGGCCTCTGCCTACCTTTCTGTCTGGGACACAGCTGCCTCCCAGCTCTTCCATTGATGCCGGACACTCCAGTTCCTCCCTGCATGCTACTGGTGCCTTTCAAGCTGCTTCCCTGGTGCTGGAGCTCAGAGAGGGTGAGTCTGAGTAAGTCCATTTGTGGGTTCTTTAAGAGGAACTGCTTGGGACTATAGCAGTTTTCTTCCGCTGACTCAATTCCTGCTGATTTTTGCACCCAGAAGTTATGGTGACTTATTTCCTTGGCACTGGAACCCTGGGTTGGGGGGCCTGGTGTGGGGCTGGGACTCCTTGCTCCCAAGATAGCCCTCCTGATTTTTTGTCCACCATAGGTGGGTGTGGGATCAGCCCATTCCTCATCTCTGCCCCTCCTACCAGTGTGGATGGATGTGGTTTCTTTAATTCCATAGTTGTCAGACTTCCATTCAACTCAGTTTCTGATGGTTCTGAGTGATGGTTGTTCTATAATTTAATTACAGTTTTGATGTGGTTGTGTGAGGAGGCGAGCCATGTTTACCTATCCTGATAGATTTTCAATCCATTCACATTGTCTTGTCATCAACCTGAATAGATTTTCTTTTTTCTGAAGATATGGCCCCTTTTTCTTTGTACTTACTGGAGTTACCCTAGATGAATCTGGGAGGCAGGGGATTTGGGGTAGGGCCTGGAGCCCAAGGAAGGAGGAGGAGGAGCACTGTGACAGCACGGTGGGGTTCTCTTGAAAGGCTCTGGAGCGCGCTAACATTCACTGCCATTTGCTCATTGAGTGCTCAGGATGCACTGAGTGCCTACTCTGTCTCACGTCCTGAGGATACAGTGGTGAGCACAATAGACAGGGCTTTGTCCTCCTATGGGATCTACAATATGGTGCGAAGACAGACTATAAACAAGTACCAAACAAATAAATCTATACCTACAAACTGTGTAAATGCTATAATGGGATCAATCAGGGTGCTGGACAAAAGAAGCCTGTGGGAGAAGGGAGAGGAATGTATTTAATTCATTAATTAAATTAATTACAGGAACAGTATGAGGCTTGAACTTCATCAAGTTAATCCACCTCTCTATATTTTTTAAAAGTGTTTTAAAAATTGATTTTAGAGAGGGAGGAATGGGACAGAGAAGGAGAGAGAAAAACATTGATTTGTTATTCTACTTATTTATGCATTTATTGGTTGCTTCTCGTATGTGCCCTGACCAGCGACTGAACCCACAACCTTGATGCTCTAACTGACTGAGCTATCCAGTCAGAGGAAGGCCTCTTTGAAATGTTCATATTTAAGCTGAAATTTGAAAGATGAGAAGGAACCTGTGGGGAAAATTTAGAGCAAAGAGTTTTCTGAAGGGTTGTAAATAATATATGCCAAGGGTCTGAGGAAGGGAAAAGCCTCTTGCTAAGGAGAGGGAAAGCTGAAGTGAGGCCATACATCTGGAGTGGAGGGGCATTGTCTTTGGTGAAAATGGAAACCTAAGCAGGGCCTTGGAGGGCACTGGGGGTTTACCCAGTGGCGTGACATGACCCAGCTGTCGCCCTAGATCCCTCTGGCTGGCGGCTGGAGAACAGAAGGCAGGCACACAGAGACCAGAGAGGGATTTCAGAATGATCTAAGTGAGAGCGGATGGACTAGCGCAGTGGCAGTGGAGGTGAAAGGA